ATCCCCTCAGGGAACAAGCACTGACCTCTCAACTGCATAATGTATTTGTTTTCCTATCACATTGTCATACGCTCTTTCTTTATGCTGTTCATTTCAAGGTGAAAACTGCATAATAGCAACATTGCTCACTGCAGATGCTTTTGACCACAAAAAAGCACTCTCATTCAACAGTCAGACACAGTCCTAAAAGACTCCTGTAGCCATGCTTCAGCCTAAATGAACGAACACAGATTTGTTGCACAAGAAAGGACTGAGCCTTGCACTAAGTAGGCAGAAGACAATGTAGAAATTGAACATTTGTTTTTCATCAATCAAAAAACGCCTCTAAAACCTCACAGTTCATTCCACCTCCTTTAATCTACTGTGCCCACCTTAGAGAGGTATTTCATGGGATTTTTCACAGCTAGGTTTTAAGTAAGGGGCAGGGAATCATCACAGTTTCCCTAACAAAATCTCTTATTTACCACCTGATTCCATGCAGTACTAGGAGACAAAGTTTCAAAACCAGCTTCCATCGTCAGGGAGTAACAGCATCTGTGTATTCACAAAGGAAGTGCACTCGACTTTCTGCAGCTGACAGGACACTTATATGCAAGCATTATGATTTTCTCTCAGCCTCTTCCTTTGTTCAACCCCAATTTCCTGTTATAATTTAGCCCTGAATTGATTACTTTTTTCTCCGTTTGATTTTATAAACACACTGTAAACAGGTGAAACAAATCACTTAGGATAATTAAAGGGTTCCAACTGCGCCTCCAGATGGGCATCTGTAGGATCCAATTTTGAACACAGCTTTTTTCAAACGTCCTAAGTATTTTTGCAACAATTTTCCAAATAATGTGTTAAAAGATGAAGATTTTCCTGCCTGTATTAACCAATGCATACCATTTTACAGAAAAGCTAAGTTAGGATTTGTCTCTTCCTTTGCTATTGTCAGAACAATGAGACATAAGCTCAGGACACTTTTATCAGAGAGCTACAAGATTAATTGTCGCTCTAAACAGTGACTTAAAGAGTTCGCTGTTATTCAAATGAGGATTGTCTCTGTTATGGTTACAGGGAAAACAAGGTGGGTTTTTTTATTATTATTATTTGATGAATCTAAGAAACAAGTATCAAGCACTAAACTGTGGACTTTAGCTAGATCAAGCAGATCAGAAGGAAACTTTATTATAACCTCAGCAGATAAGAAAACAGTCTAAAAAAGCACTGCAGCAAGAACATCATGATGAGCCAGCCGACTGATTCTCATGCTCAGTGGAATGCCTCTTGCTGACTTCCATAGTAATTAGCTAGGGACAAAGACTAACACAAGTCACAGTTGGAAGAAAGAAATGTCAGTGGGATATAGTGTGATCACAGCAAACTGAACATTATATGCTAGTGATTCTATGCTACCTAAAAATTCTTTAGAACAATATGTACACTCAGAATGCAGTTCAAATGTTGAATAATTCATATTCTTGCAGGTGTTGGCCTCAATCTCAACCTGTACCTTTTCACATCCTTAGATGAAAAGTGCATGTTCTATTTTATAATTGCCTTGCAACTGTTAGTGTTTATGTTGGATAGGGCACACGTGGTTTCTGCTTGTTGTGATAAACGAGCATAATAAGTCTTCTCAGTTCACATGTACTTCAGATTTGGATTCCTCTCTTTGTTGTGTGGAAGAAGTTACCTGTGGCATCATCACTAACTCCCCCTGGACTGAGAAAGCATCAGAAGTCCAATCCTGAAACTGAAGACCTCGTGAGAGTTCAGAGCCTTTGTTTGGCAGGGAGTCCCATTTCTCAAGCCCAGGGACTGACTGAACAATAGACATCCAATGACTACTAAGTGAACTGGCACAGCACCCTGCTGAAACATGTTTGTGTGGCTACATAATTTGTAACAAGTGTAACAAGTTGCCTGTAGTCATCATTAATCTTCCTTCAGCTCAAGTGCCTATTATCTTAGTGTTTTTTCCCAACCCAAGTTCTTCTCTTCTCTGCTAACTAATCTTCTTTCATTCTTATTTCAATTCATTCTTAGACATTAGTGTTCAGAAGCCTCTTCCAAATTCAATTACTTGGCTTCTTCGCCAGATCTTGTATCTAACCATTCTCTCTTTTAGTCCTGGCCTACTCACACAATGCTCTTTCTAGTAGATCTTAAACAATACCTTTCACTTCAGAGGATATGTCTGATGTTCCCTCTTGTAACTAGCATTTTGTCATAAAAAACGTATGTAACTATACAGACTACGGAAATGAGCCTTAATGACATAGTTACACCAAGGAAAAAGCCATGGATAATTGGACTGTAGAGGTGTAATATCCTGCACCACGCATATACATTACGCCACACTTAGTCTCCTTACCTTCACTGATTTTCTAAGCAATAACCAAGCAGGCACCTGTAGCCTGTGCTAGCAGGAGCTCTCGTTCCTGAGGGAAACGCTCAGGATAAAAAGGGCAGAGTGCAAAGGCAAGTGACACTTAAAAAGCAACTACCACTCCTTTAAAAGACAAATACCTAACAACCCTTAGTACCAGTGATGGTAAGGCAACATCATCAGCCAACAAAATTAAGGGCAAGAGTGGCAGAGCCTCCTTCACAAATGACAGCTAACAGTGTGGAAAGGACTTCTGGTATCCTTTGGCTACCAATCTCTACAGAGATTAATATCCAGAGATGGCTACTGAGATTGTAACTGTAGTTCTACCTTTTTCACTGTCCTTGTTTACAGCAATGATGGTTTCACTAGAAAAATACTACCAAACTTGTATGACAAAATTTGAAGGGGTGTAACAATTGCAGCTACAAAGCAATCGCTCAGCACGTTAATTAAGCAATTTTGTTTCTAAGAAAAGCTACTCAGGGAATATGTTAGGTATTTAATTGTAATTGTTAGTGTACTGGCAGATTAGAATATGATAGTTTTGTTGTCAAAACCTCAGTAACAGAGAGAGGTAAAACTCTCAGTAAAACTCTCTTGTCAGAGAAGTCCATCCTGCACAAAGGCACTACTGAGAGAATATTCAAGGCTTCACCACCTCCTTCGCATTTCATTTGATAGAATGATTGGCTGTTATGCTTCTGTAACCTGTTTTCTGCAAAAGCCACTAGCTAGTTCATCACTAAAGTTACAGCAACAAAAACAAGTAGCTGCAGCTGGTTTTGGTGGTTGTTGTTTTTTAAAGGAAAAGATCCTTGTTCTTTGCCTCACTTCATTCAGATAGACAACAGTTAATATTTCCATTAGCACAGCTGTATGAGTCATTTCACACAAACAATCCACCACTTTAAAGGGCAGGCACCAGACAGGGAGATATAACAACAGAATTTTATCTCAGGCAAAGAGAAATACTGTTGGTACCTACTGGGAATAAGAATAATGTAACAGGGAATGAGAATAATGTGAATGCAATAAAAATCTGACAGTAGCACATAAAATAATGTCAGTGTTACCATCTGAAGAAAACTAAAAATTGAAAGAAATTGTTCCAGCCTAAGAGGAGATACCGTAAGACTCCCACAAGCATATGAAAATGATGACTTGTTTATGGGTTATCAAATACTATCAGTACATCCAGCACTTTGAACAGTATAGGGCAACCCATCCTCAAGGCAGATCAATGTGAAAGTCAGGACTCATGATTACAAAATTAACTTCATTGTCCAAGTTGTACTAACTCCTTGGAGAACAGAACTTGGGGGTAGAGGGTAACAAGGGTAACAACCCAGCTAAAGTATATTTTCATGTGATTTGCTCTACCCAACACTAGAGTAGAATTATTTCATGGTAGACATGTAATGCCAAAAGCTCTGGCTTTAGGTGAGGAAAAAAGAAAGAAAAAAAATAAAACACACACACAAAAAACCAACAAACCAATAGGTAAAAGAGAGGGAAATTTATTACCGTGTGGGCAAAATATCTGAACACAATAAAATCAATGCAATAAGAATAGGCTTGAAAATCTAGATATAGAAAATGATGACTCATAACTGAAATTGGTTCAGATCACTTTCTATTTCTGACAGCATTTAGATGTTTTAAGGTATTAGCATTGCTAATGCTACAAGGGACTGCCACAATGCCAGCAGATGTTGGACTTACGTGGTTTGTGATTGACCATCAAATACAAGGGGTATTTTTGCTAAAACAAATATCTATCCTATAATTATGCACCTTTGAAGTATGAAATTTTCACAAAGTAGAAATATCTTCACTGAAGTTTGTTTCCATATCAGGTAAATGTAAATACAAGAGATTACTTGCATAATTTTTTTATGAGGAACATTTCGATTATAAATGTTATTACTGTCTTCTAGCTAATGTCTGTATCTAAACCTCGTGGGCATGTCCTCAGTGTTTGATGTAACAAATTATACCTTCCTTTGTTTTATATGAGTGCCACTCTCCTACATCAGAGCTATCATCCAAAACCAAGATTGATTCAAATCAATGTCAGCTTCTCTGATGGTTTTAATAGACTTCAATTCAAACTCTGGTTAAAAATCTAGCAAACTGTATGGGTTTGGAACTTAGTCAACTAATGCTATAAGAAAAGTTTTCATGATCTAAAACCAAGATGACAATACAAAAAGTAAACAACATGAATAGCTTTGAAAATTTTATGATCTATGAGTGCCCAAAGGACTAACATAGACAAAAAAAATAACAATAATCACATATAAACGTCACTTGGGAAGGGGATCTACTAATTCATCTTTATTTACCTACCCTCATTATCTGTAACTGTAAATTGGTATTATAACTTCTAATTCCCACAGAAATACCTAAAGTCTCAACAATAGCATAAAATGCTTAGACAGCAAATGGTTTTTATCCACACTATGATATCTTCTGGACACAGTATTGCCATACAATGCCTATTATTGCCTACATAATTTTCCATTCAGAAAAATAATCTATAGATCTGACTCAATCCATCTTTGTATGAGATAGAAATGTAGAGAAAGAGCAGATGAAGAATCATAGTACATCTTTTACTTACTGCAATTTCTTTAGAAGGTATAAGTGACTCAACAATAGAAGTAGTACTGGAAAATGATGAAAATTTTTTTTCTCAGCGTTTGTAGGCAAGAACAGCTGTGGTTTGATTTTCGAACTGCATTTAAAACCTGAAACAGACAGGGACAATAACATGGTCATGAGCTTTGTAAATTGGAAACCTACAAAGAAAACAAAGTCACAAACAAGATGACCATTAGGAAATCACTGAGATACTCCAATAATCTTGTCAAAGATGATCAGATAATTAAACGCATTGTGAAAAACAGTAGAAACATATGGGCTGTGATTATTCTTTGGCAATGAGTTTGTTTCTTCCAGAATCGGTATTAACCTCTGTAAATGATAATCAACTACTGAAATGAATCCAGGTATACTCCAAGAAGTCTGTAAAACTGTCAGTAGTACAAAAATTCAAGCTGACTTTCATATTCATCACATTTTCCTGTCTGTTCCAGATGTTTTCATACAATATGAAAACAAAAAGCACAACAAAACCAGAAAAGAATAGTACAAATTTGTTAGTTTACTTTTTCTTGCTCTAGTTACTCCTGAGAAGCTTCTTACAACATCCCTATTTTAACTTTCATTTCAGAAACACTGTGTAGAATGTCAGCACCAATGGCCAAAGAAGAGCAGATCTTTAGTCTCCTAAATAAGCACAGATACACTGAATAATTCCATGTTGATTTGCTGATTTAAATTGCTCATCTGACATCTCCTACACTCACTTGCAAATAGCACTGCATTTCAATCTTGAATCAAAGAATTTTCTAGTGTGCTTTCAGTTGCATCTGGAGCAAAACATTACTGTAAAAAACATTCCTTTCTGTATTGGAAAGCATTAGGATGTCATATTAAAGATCATGTAGTTAGCTATCCAGTAAGCTTCATCAGCATATGTGTACAAAGAGATACTATTTCACTGGTTTTACAGAAGGACAAAAATTCCTTTAAAAGTGATTCTGGTTGATACTTCAGAGCATTCCAACTAATAGTGGAAGCAACTAGAAACAGTGTTCCTATTTAACCAAAACTGTTAAGGATTTTGAAGGTCTTTACTTGGTCATTGACAAGTGAAACAAAATAGAGCGACGGGGAAATTGGTGGAAAAGACATTGATTTAGGAGTTAGACTCAAAATCAAAGCAGTAGCATGATAAGAAAATGTAAAAAATGTGAAGTTTGTGATATGGAATGTGTAAAACAAGCTTTCTGGGTCTCCCTAGTTCCCTGCATGCATTCAGGTATCAGAAGGCAGAAAACAAGATGTGTTCTCTTACTGTTTGTCTTGATGCTTTCCTGTTGCTCTCTTTTCTAAGCCTTTAAATTGTAATTGCTTAGAGTAATCTTTTCAATTATTTTATGCAAGTTGTTCTAAAATGATCAGTACACATGGATTGCCAATACAATTACAGGGCAATAAGTAGAATGCTACCCCTTCCCAGGACACAGGAACTGAGAAAGCAAAAGAGATGTTTTCATGCTTTATGCACATATTTCTCCATTAATTGATGCAAAGCTTGTACGATTCCTTCCTGAACTGGTTGCAGCTGCAGGATCTTTGACCAATGATCAGAAGTCAGTTAATGCCTATTGAACAAAATGCATGGTAATTTATTGGGTTCATGTAGCTATTGGACAGATTTTTTATAATTCCTAGAGCTTAACTGTTAATTAGAGATATATCCTGTATTATCTAGCAGTGTAATAAAGGTTCCAGATGCCTTGTTGCTCTTCAATCAGATTGTGCCATCAGAACTCCAGAAAGACAAATATTTCTGTTTTTATCCTGTCAGACCCAACCTGTGGCTGATTCTAGATGCGTGCAAGTCTCTGAAGATTTCTAATGTACAGGTTTTTGCTTTCTTTTACAGGTACATGGCCATTATCGATCCCTTGAAACCAAGGCTCTCTGCAACAGCTACCAAGGTGGTCATTGGGAGCATATGGATTTTGGCTTTCCTGTTGGCCTTTCCCCAGTGCCTCTATTCTATAACCAAGGTGATGCCTGGGAGAACTCTGTGCTATGTAGCATGGCCAGGCGGTCCAAAACAGCATTTTATGTAAGCATTTTTCTTGTAAACTTGTGCATGGCGATGTCTATACTTGAAACAGATACTACTAGTAGTTATTTTGTGTAACTAACAGCACTGAGAAATTCAAAGCAGAACTGCTAAGCTTGGAAGATATGCATTTAAATGACAACTGGAAGAAAACTATTCTCTTCCTTGAGTGTTTTTCATTCCACACTGCAATGTTTACTATTACTGCTTCACTTAAGATGGCTACTTCTATATAACAAAGTTGGTCAGAAATGGGAACAGAATATACAATTCAAACTAAGCTTATAGTTTATCCTAATGAGTAAAACAGTATTTCCAGCCTCTCCTTGTCACAATCAGATTTTTTTTCTCTGGTTCTATTCAAAAAGGATTGGGTTTCCACACTTCATCCTGTTATGCTGTCACAAGTACGTATCTCAGGTATGAGCTGGAATAAGAGAACTGTAAAATATGTAATTCTGAAAGGGTAAAGCAACAGCCAATTAAACTGGATGTATCGTGTTTGTCCCTCTGGCAGAATTAGGAATAAGTGGCTACCTAGCCATATAAACATTATGTCCCCGTTCAGATCCTCATTGGTATTTAAGATGAACTCTGTGTCAAGGTTGAAAACCTGCATAACCATACAGCATCAAATTTGACCTTTTGCCTTCCTTCAGGCAGGTGAAAACTGCTCTGATCATATATAATTTTGATCACTGTAGGAGCCATCCACAGGTATGTTATCTTTAGGGCAGTGAGGTCACTCTCAGTGACAGCTGGGAATTCTTTAGTGATCATTCACTGGGATTTTATGTGACAATGACATTTAACAAGGACCTAGCAGGAGGCAAAATAAGTTCTCTCTTTTTTTTTCTCCAGCACTCACATTGTCAGAGATGACTATGTTGCACATAGGCAACAGAGGGGCCATATGAAGTACAAATACAAATGATGCCTTTGTATAAAAACAGTATTTAAATACTGCATTTCTACTTTCATTTGTGGTCCAGATTAGAACTCAGAACCCTTAGCTTGCCCTTAGGACACTTGACTGTGCAGTAAATAAATCAATTCAGCTAGTTATGGACAAAGCTAGTTATGGACCTCATTCTGAAGTCATTAATCAGTATTACTGTAGAGTCATTCTTAATTTTACTAGAACAAGTTCAGAATCACAGCTAAAGATCCCATAAGGCACTTGCATTAGAATGTAAATAAATATGCAGTGAAACTCAAGATATTTGAAAAGACAGTGAATGCACCAAGGGCTGGCCCATCAATATAAAGCACGCTTCTCGTAACAATAGCACTCTCCTTCCAGCAGCCCATTCCATCAGCTCTGAAAGCATTTACCAGCTAATGCTTTTTCATTGCAGGTATCATGTCATTGTGATTGTGCTGGTCTACTGTTTTCCACTGCTTGTCATGGGCATCACTTATTCTGTAGTGGGAATTACCCTCTGGGGAGGAGAAATACCAGGTGACACATCGGACAAATATCATGAGCAACTCAAAGCTAAGAGAAAGGTACTGTTCCATTAAACCTCACTAAGCGAATCTTAATAACATCACCTGTAATTGTACTGCAAAGTACTGTGGTATTCTCTTTCAGAAACAAAAAGGCATTTGAAATCAGAGTAATGAGACTTACTTCAGTTTTTTAAAAAAGACAAGTTTTCTTTTAAGTTCATCAGCTGCCTTGTTGTACTTTTTTCTTCTTTCCAACTTCATTGTTAGAAAAAGGCAACATTTGGATTTTAACTTCTTATTCCATATATAGTGCCTGGAAATGTGTCTGATATGAGGAAATTAAACCCAACTGTTTAGCCTTTATAGACCTAAAATACTGAGTTTTGAACAACCGGGCTGGCAAACCATTAACTCCCCATGGGTCAGATTCTCACTCTACTGAAAAAATCAGTGAATCTTATTGCAATTTTCAGATTAGGAATGGCAGATAAGCCTAGACATCTTCATAGTATGCCATTCAGTGTTTCCCATGACATCAGAGGTAGGTGGGGCTTTTGAGGGGCTTCATGTACCTCTTTTAGGAGGGCAAAACATTAGCTTCTCTTACGGAAGCGAGTATATTTTGACTACTATTGTACTGTGATAGCTCCAAGACATTCTGGAATGTGAACTGAGAGGAAATAATGGAAAAGTAATCAATGCTTTGACTATCTGTCTCCAGATTAAATTATAGGATTCATTTCCAGAAATGCTGAAAGCATTTCAAAAGATCAGCATTTCAGTTTTCAACATTATCCGTTCAATGTCCTACTTTATTATTACAGTCTTTGCTGTGCATGTTGTTTCTCACCCAAAGGTGTATGTTCAAAGTTACAAGATGTTCTTTCCTTCAGAACGTAAGCAGGAATTGTTTTTCCTGGTCAGTTAACTGGGTTATTATCAATAAAGGCCTTCCAGCCTTAGAAAAAAGGAAGAAATATTCCGGGAAGCATGTGTGAGTGAAGACAAAGTGATGTATCACCTTGTATAGTAGACAGAGTTTACAAACTTTACAAAAGTAAGTGGCAAAAAATTATTTAAACCAGTAACTTGGAAAAACAGGAGATCTTATAATAATTGAGTAAATTAAACACCTTATTTCATACACACTAAAGGTATCTACAGAGAAAAGCTGGCTCCTACTGTATGCTATGAAGAGTTCAATTAAATCACTCGAATAGTTTAAAAACAGCACTCTAGATATATGCAAGAAAAGGAACCCTTGATTAAAGCATTTTAAATGTGAGAGCACTTCATGTCTTCAACACATGCAAAAATGGGCATCCTTTGTGCAGACACATTTGTAACTTCATCAGTGACTTAACTGACAGAGCTCCGTGACATCTTCAGTTCTACTGCTGCACTCTCCAACAGGATTTATGAAATGATTTATGTTTGGAAAAATGAATCATAATCAGTCAGTCACAGTGATAAACTAATAGACTAGAATCCAGATAAAACTATCCGTCAGCCAGCTTCTGGTAACAAAGCTATTGCTTTTTTCTTCATTCAAACAAAGAAACCATCTGTTTTTCCTGCTATTTAGTATGCAGC